CAGCAACTAGCATGCTTACACACACTTCCTGGTTTGCAGATGAAAAAAAATGCTTTACAATTTAGCTACATTCAGACTGCAGCCTGAAGTGACCCAAATCTGATTTTTCTCCCCTATGCGACCTGTATCTGATCTTTTAATGACAGTCTGAACGACACAAATACGATTTTTTCAAATGTGACCCAGGCCACTTGGATATGTGCTCCTGAAACTGACGCATATCCGATGTTTTGACATGCGACTTCAAGTTTGAACGGCCAGGTCGCATTCATCCCACCTACACATCATCAACAAGTACAAGTAGGAGCTCATAAATGTGCACAAATGTTCTTGTAGATATACGAAAATTGTGTATGAACTCCATGTCAGTGAAGCAGTGAAGCACAGAGAAATCCCACCACTCTTGGCTGCAACTCTGCACCCGCATGTTTCTTTCTACGGATGTTGCTGCCACTGCCCCACAAAACTCCATGGCCAAAAACCTTGTTCTTCTCCTTGTCAATCTCTTCCTTAAAACAAATAATCCATAAGCCCTGCAGTCTGAACGTAGCTTTAGATGCAGGAAGAACACAGCCGTCTCAGTTTTACAATATCTATTCTGTAGATGCACATGCATAAAAATCAGATACAGCCATTTTAAGCAAGAGTGAACAAGTATTTGGTAAAATACTAATTAGGGCTGTTGCAAAAACCGCAAAAAAGAATCACCGCGGTACTAAGAGGCCCAAAGAGGTGCATGTTGTTCCACCTTAATGACCACACGTGACCAATGTGACCCGACCCAGAGTCCTGCACGGGTCCCGTGATAACCCAGGACTAACCCAGGACTAACCCAGGACTAACCCAGGACTAACCCGGGACTAAGGTTTACTCGTGTAGACCTTCGGGTGACCGCAGGCGAATGGACCGGCGTGTAGAGCTTTGCGCCGCACAGAGGTATGCAGCCATCGCCCGATAGCACTTTGTGGACACCCTGCTGCTCGGGGTTCTCTCTCTCTTAAGTCCGCGAGTACCCGACCTGGTGCAGGACTCTGACCTGAGCTGCCACAGTGAGAGCTGGAGAGATGCAACGGCACTTGTTCCAAAGCCAAATGTTACTTCTCCCACGCTACACACGCTATATCCACACGACAACCAAGGTACATGTGCATCTGCGGAGCAAACGCACCATCGGAGAGAGTTTTCAGTGCCGCTGGAAATATTATAACTCCAGGGGATGTGGGGTGGAGGAGGGGGGGTGATATGTTACTTTTATTGTACATAATAGTTTTTTTGGTATTTTATATTTTTGCTCCACATAAACAGTGTGTTACATTAGAGTCTATTTTTAAGTCTATTTTTTTCATTATTTTTAAGCCATTATCTATTATCTTGTTTTATTGCATGTTCCCATTTTCCTGCTGTTCTTGAACTGCGGGACTAATAAAGGCATAACTTATCTTATCACCACATACGGCGCTGTTGAGCCGCTATACCGCCCTAATACTAATCAATATTAACTGTTTGAATTAGGGATGGGCATGATCTGTCGATTAATCGATAATTGATCAGTGAGAATTTCATCGATTATGTTCATTTTAATCGACAAACCGAATGTAGGTTACTGTGCGTAGTGTGACCAAACAGGTCTGTACATGTGTCTCTCTGCACTCAGAGGGAGCGAGCGGACAGAAACAGTCGGTCAGTCTGCAAGTGCCAAAGCACAAATGCGTATTTAACGATGACTTGTACAAGAAATTCCACGCTTTCCGTTCCGGTCGGGACAAGTGTGAGTCCATGTGCACAGTGTACAAAGCAGCACGTATGTTTCGGTGTCCAGTGGGAAAAATCTCACCAGGACACTGAAAACATGAAAAATCTTTGCCAGGTGAGAGTAGCGCAATGTCGATGACGAGTCCCCACCTCCCTCCCCCCGTACGGTGTCCTGGTTTTGACAAACGCAAATATGGTCACACTAACCTGTATTCACCTGAGTCGTGCCGCATCAGCGACACAAGAGCTGTAATTTTCACTTCGCTTAGTTTATGCAAATTAGCGCTGCGGTTTTAAGTTTCATTTCTGTGTGACTTGCGCAAAACTGAACGGGCTGATGTGGCTCTAGAAAGTTGAATTTATTTATGCAGATTAGTAGTGCAGATAGTAATAATAATGATGATCATTTTAATATAAAAATGATTAATCGATAATCGGTCGTTAATTCTTCCGACGATCGATTAAGAAAACTTCATCGAATGCCCATCCCTAGTTTGAATATCTGATTTCTGTCAATTACCAGGTAACCAGGCATATAACATGAAAACAGAAACAAAATCTTATATTTTATGAACAGACTATAAACACTGGAAAAAGTCAAGTATGGAAAAAACAGATCAGCTCAAATCCAGTTATATTACAAACAAAAATCTTCACTACTGCAAAGAAAAAGTAACACACAATAAATATTATATCCCCAAATATATGTTTTATCTACCATCTATTGAATTGTCTAGTCTAGAAAAGTGTAGTATAGTCATTATTGTGGAAAGTTTAAGTACTATTCTTCCTTGACAGACCTGAACCTGGTCTAACCCTGGACTTAACTGTCACTAATTTGGACTAAAAATTGTAATTCTGGTCTTGTCGTGATTGCAGGCATGTCTCTCGGGACCTTCACCGTGAAACAAAGCAAAAAAATAAAATAAAATTCACTTTCCAAATCTTACGGCTCAGTGGCTCCGAGCATCAACACTGGCAGCCAAATGAGTAGCAGTAATTTCAGCCCCGATGCCCCGCCACAGCTGCCCTCGACTGTGAACGGAGCGACTGTGGAGTATAATGACAATCACAGCTGAAGTTTAGAACAGCGCTGTAATTAAACTCAGACCAGAAAATCCCAACGGGTTTGAACCGAGAAGCGAAACGGCTCTTATCAAATGACTTCAGAGAGAGAGAGAGGCTGCGTTTAGACGTATGAAAGTAAGAGTAAGGATTTTTGTGTGATTACGGTTCAGTTTGGCACGACGTTTTCAGCAAAAACGTGGTCAATGTGAACTTCCAAACTGGCGAGAGTTCATTTGTACTGTGCAAGGCTGAACCAACTCAGAAAACAACCGGAGCCAAGCACATAATGAGTCTATTACAGCTAGAAATCATCATCAGCACGTCTTTAAAAAGCAGCAGCACATTGGACTGATCCATCTGTGTTTTGTTTGTCGTTTATGGTCTAGTTGAAAAATCCGTGTATCATTCGTTTATTTGTTTTTCAATATAAAACCAAAAATAAGAACATGAAAAATCAACAATTTTCTTCATTATTTGTCATTATTTGATTTTGATTTTGTGTTTAAATGAAAAATGGAAAAAAAAAAACGGATAAAGGAAGTTTCCCGTTTCAGTGGCTTAAACTGTGTTGCCGGACTAAACCAGGACTAAACCAGGACCGAACCAGGACCTGAGACCACATCAGAACCAGACCAGGACTGAGACCACATCAGTACTGAGTCCGGGACCAGGGCCAGGACCAGGACTGAGACCGGGACCAGACCGGGACTGAATCTGGGACCAGGACCAGAACTGAGACCAGGACTGAGACCGGGACTGAGACCGGGACTAGACCAGGACTGAATCTGGGATCAGACCAGAACTAAGACCGGGAACAGGACTGAGGACTGAGACCAGGACTGAGACCAGGACTGAGACCAGGACCAGACCAGGACTGAATCTGGGACCAGGACCAGAACTGAGACCAGGACTGACCAGGACCAGGACTGAGACCAGGACTGAGACCAGGACTGAGACCGGGAACTGAGACCGGGACTGAGACCAGGACTGAGACCAGGACTGAGACCAGGACTGAGACCAGGACTGAATCTGGGACCAGGACCAGAACTGAGACCAGGACTGATACCAGGAACAGGACTGAGACCAGGACTGAGACCAGGACTGAGACCGGGACTGAGACCAGGACTGAGACCAGGACTGAGACCAGGACTGAGACCAGGACTGAGACCAGGACTGAGACCAGGACTGAGACCAGGACTGAATCTGGGACCAGGACCAGGACTGAGACGGGAACTAGACCAGAACTGAGACCAGGACTGAGACCGGGAATAGGACCAGGACTGAGACCAGGAAATGAGACTGGGACTGAAACCGGGACCAGACCGGGACCAAGACCAAGACTAAGGCCGGAGCCAGACCAGGATCAGACCAGACCGGGACTGAGGCTGGGACTGAAACTGGGACTGAGACCAGGACCAGACTGGTAACAACTAAACCTGAACTGAACTGAACCAGGACTGAACCAAAGAGTGAGACCGGGACCAGACCGGGACTGAAAATAGTTTAGTCCTGTTTTAGTCCCGTTTTAGTCCTGGTTCAGTTCAACATCGCAGTTTAAGTCATGGAAACAGGAAACAGTCGTTATCAGTTTTTTTTTCCATTTTTCATTTAAACACAAAATGAAAAACTGAAAAAACAAATCATTATCTGTTTTTTCGTTTTGGTTTTGGAGACAAATAATGAAGAAAATAGTTGTTTTTTTCGTTTTCTTATTTTTGGTTTTATTTTGAAAAACAAATAAACAAATGACACACGGGTTTTGAAACATTATCTGGGACAATTCTATGTAAGACAACGAAAAAAAAATGTAAAATGACAAGTTGTAGAACTGAAATGCCTTCACAAATCATGTTAGCCCAGTAACTCAACACTGATTCAAAAATTTGGCATCTTCCCATCACTCGGCAAAACAGAGAATTAAGGATTGGCACGCTGCAGTCAAACCAGTCAAATTAAATTCTAGAAATGCAGAAAGCACTATTCCAACGCCAGGGAAAAAATGTTAGACCCACGGGTAGTTAGAAATGACAAGAGCCACGCAGATAAGTCTAAAATATATCGTTCTCATACATTTGCGTTTACATTTAAAATATATTTAAATAAGATCCAAACTCAATTTAAACATAAATAAAGTCTGCATCGCAATCAGAGCGAAATAAGTAAACCAAAAAGTATCTTACCTTGCCAAAGCTGCCCTTCCCAATGGCCCGCAGTATCTGGAAATGGTCAAAGTTCACTGCAAAAGAAACACAAAAGACAAGTCAGGATACTATTAAATTATTATTTTTCATGAATCAAGGACATTTTTACATTGGCTCAGGGCTGCGCAGTAGTCAAGTCAAGTCATTTTATTTATATAGCACATTTAAAACAACCACAACAAGTTACACCAAAGTTACACCAAAGTCCTTTACAGCATGAAATATAACACAAACTAGTGCTGTCAAATGATAAAATTGAGATTAATTCATTATGATCTGTAATTAATTAATCTAATTAATCTCTTTTAAAGCCTTCAACTTGAGGTATTTTCATTTGAATTCATTATTACATTGTTTTCATACTATCATTAATGTTTTTATGTAAATATCATCATTATTTTTACTATTACTAATCTGCATAAATAAACTCAACTTTACAACATATAAACATCAACACTCTAGAGCCACATCAGCTGTTTGACATTATAATGTGTTTAATGCAGCTTTGCGCAAGTCTCACAGAAATGAAACTTAAAACCGCATGGCTAATTTGCATAGACTAAGCAGAGAAAAAAAAAAAAAAACGCTCTTGTGCACTGATGCGGTTCAGTTTCTGTTGGACTAAAGGACACGACTCAGTGGAATATAGATGTTCTTTCTGTGACAGAGGGATGTTGATGCTGATGGTGAGTCTGTTCTGTGTCTGTGTCGCGATGTTTTCAGAGATCAGACGTGTGCCGGTTTATCGCAGATGCGGCGAGAACGGGAATGAAAATTAGGCTACAGTTCTTTGCGGGAGCGAGCGGAGCAGGACTGCACAGTGCGGGACTGTGTCCTAACAACACATAAAAACAGATTTTATAATAAGGCAACTCGCGAACAGAAACAGTAAAGTTAGAGATTCAAAATAATATTACCGTGATTAAAAAACATAACGCGCTAAATGTGACTAATTAATTAATCGCAATTAACGCGATAATTTGACACCCCTAACACAAATATACACACTATATAAATTATTACATGAAAAAGTGGATTAATGCACAAAGATAATAGTCTAAAGTTGACAGCTTCAGAGTAGAGGTCATGGGCTGTTGAACGCCATCTTGAAAAAATGTGTTTTTAGGAGGATTTTAAAGTAGAGAGGATGACAAACAAATTATTTACCTTATATTGACGATTTTCGATCACGATTTTCAATTTGATTTTATACTGTAATTTCGTGGTCATATTGTTCTACTCTAAATCATTGCTATTTTTTATTTTAAATTGTGCCTCCAAAACACGTCATGCTTTTAATAACAGACTGACTACTGGCTCTAGACTAAAATGAATAAACAACGTAATCATCATCATCATTAAAGCCCTATTTGCACGGGTTTAGTATTACCTGTGGACCTTTGGCGACTTGTAATAATTGAGATCTTAATCCCATGCGAATGTGCCATGTCGGTAATTTGGAAAGTAAAAATTACACCGCAAATGACCGACTATATTTCACCAAACACAGACGTCCAGTGATAACACTAGTCAATGCGAATCTGCGTCTCAGTGTTTGTTGTTGTAATTGCGTGCCTTTTCTATCTCTTTCTTTTCTTTCCGCGTTCTTTTCTCTTTCAGTCTCAGTCAATGTCAGTAAAATAGAGTTATTTACGGACTTTGATTATCCAGTGCGAGTGCACAAGTTGATTCATCAGCTGGTCTCTCTTTGTGGAAACAGTCTGACCTTGCAGCATTAGGATTCATTCGCTCAACGGTAGACAAGTACTTTTTATTTAAGCAATCGCTGCTATTTGGTCGTGATGTATGTAATTCGCCAAATCCTGTAGGAAGAAGGACAATAACGTCTTTCCCTTTGATAAAATTCACCAGACATTCTCTTTGTTCCGGCTCTAAATTCTTGATCTCGGGAATCGTTGCCAACACAGAATGTCTGTCTTCATCTACATCCATCTCGACCTCTTTGTTTACTGTTGTGCTGTTCCACAAAAGGGACCCAGACAGACGCTTGAGTTTGACGTCATGGCTTCACAGATCTTCGCTGATTGGCCAATGCGTGGTCTACAACTTCCTTCTGATTCCTGACCTAGTCACTGGAGAGAAATGAAATTGAGCGGAGGCACTAGGTTGTGCCAGCCTGCCTAAGAAATCCATACATATTTCCCTGTAGCTGAGCATAAAATAACTATATGTAAACTCTCGAATGAGTCCAGCTGTACATAAAATCTGTTGTGTGTATTTTATCCATCATAATATGAATTGAAAAGTTACGACATCAAGGATTACAATCACGGAATGAAAATTTACATTTACGCTTTCTTCAGTACAAATACGAACTCACAGATGAGACTTTACTGGAAAAACACTATGCAACTGGCTATGAATGCACTGTAAGTAAAGCAGAGGTGGGGCGGTAATTTGCAAATTACCGGACCAGACCAGATCCCCAGGTTGTACGAATAGGGTTTCAAAGGTCCTGTATTACGCAAAATTCAGTCCTGTGAGTTTTAAGTCATGTTGTAATGTTGTTACCTCATCAAAAACATAACTGGAGTTGTGTTTGGTTCATTCACACGTGTCTACATCTCCAAAGCTCAAAATGCTGCTCCACGTTTTACCTTTGGTTCAGTAGAGATCGGCAAGTCTAGAGCTGAAGTTATCGAAATGATTCTAGCGAAGTATATGTGTATGGAGTTTCAAAACACAGTGGAGCAGAGTGTTTTCTGTTTGAGAGAAGAACTTAAAAATGCAGGGTTTGTGTGTTAAACGTGTGAATGAAACAAAACACAACTCGAGGAAACAACATTATAACAACGATCAGAAAATAGTGTAATCCAGTATGAGCCCTTTAATATCACTCTCAAATAAAATTCATTTCCTACTTTAGCTCGCTAAGAATTTCACTTTCCTTTCTCCCACACACACAAAAAAAAAGTTTTCTAATATATTCTGCCCGTGTCTATATTAGAGTAATTTTTCATGTTAACACAATGTCCGTTCATTTAACAGTAGAAAATCCAGTGAGATCGATAAATGCGTTACCACACTGCTCCTCCTCTTCGCCTCTGATTTATTGGATGCCCTCTGTCTAGACATAAAACTCCGGGTAAAGTATTACAGCAAAAGTCCTTGGTCGTGACATTGAAACTTTGCGAATTAATCTACTCGAACTTTTCCACTGTAGAGATTTTTTTATTTTTTTTTACAGCAAGTTTTTACAAATGTGTCTTTTAGTTGTACAGAGACGAGTTGAAAAAAGAAACTACAACTGAACAAAATTGAACGAAATAAAAACTACAAAACGTCAACCTGAGGACCAAAGATATATTTAAAGACATACTGTGGAACATCCCAACAGCAACATCGCTACGGAGACCAAAAGTACGGAAGCCGAGAGGGGTCGCAGCAAACGCAAACGCCGCAACAAATACAAATGCGACAACACAACAAAAAGCCACAACACACCAAAAAAAAGTCACAATGGAAATGACAAAAGGACTCTATTTTAATGCAAACGCCGCAACAAATACAAACGCCAAAACACAAACGCAAATGCCACAACACATTAAAAAGCCACAACACACCAAAAAGTCAAAACAGAAGTGACCGCGGGACTCTATTTTCCGAAGGACCGATCAAGCGGCAAGTGAAGAAGAAGAACTACAACGTGAAAAGTAAAGGAACGGAGAAGTCGGAAATGTAAGTAAACGTAATTTATTGTTTTATCATTATTTGTTTCACGTTGTAGTTCTTCTTCTTCACTTGCCACTTGATCGGTCCGTCGGAAAATAAAGTCCCGGGTCACTTCCCTTGTGGTGGCTTTTTAATGTGTTGTGGCTTTTTAATGTGTTGTGGCTTTTTAATGTGTTGCGGCATTTGCGTTTGTGTTGTAGCGTTTGTATTTGTTGCAGCATTTGCATTAAAATAGAGTCCCGTGGTCACTTCCGTTGTGGCTTTTTAATGTGTTGTGGCTTTTTAATGTGTTGTGGCTTTTTCATGTGTTATGGCTTTTTAATGTGTTGCGGCATTTGCGTTTGTGTTGTGGCATTTGTATTTGTTGTGGCATTTGCATTAAAATAGAGTCCTGCAATCACTTCCGTTGTGGCTTTTTAATGTGTGTGTGTTGTGGCTTTTTAATGTGTTGTGGCTTTTTGATGTGTTGTGGCTTTTTGATGTGTTGCGGCATTTGCGTTTGTGTTGTGGCATTTGTATTTGTTGCGGCGTTTGCGTTAAAATATAGTCCCACGGTCATTTCCGTTGTGGCTTTTTTTGTTGTGTTGTCGCATTTTTATTTGTTGCGGCGTTTGCGTTTGTTGTGACCCCTCTTGGCTTCAGTACAAAACATGTCCTTATTACTCAAAATGACTCTTCAACTGCAATAAAACTGAACAAAATAAAAACTACAAAACGTCTACGCAAGGACCAAGGGCGACACAGTTTAGATCCAAATTTAAAGGTGCACTGTGAAACATTTTTGCCACCTGCTTGTTTCCATGGAGATGCAATTGCTTTGCCAGTAATATTAAAGTAAAATGATCTCTCTTGCACTTTTATTTTCCTGCATTAGATTATTTTTCAGACCAAGGTTTAGTTTGTTTTCATACTGCGGCGACGCGCTGAGGAAGATCGCTCTTGAGTATTTGAAACAGTGATGAAAACAAACCTTGGTCTGAAAAAATAATCAAATTGAAATGGATTATCAGGAGACTAAATTAACCTCGTCGCACTTCAATTAGGGGAGGTTTGGGGGATTTTTTTGCTGATAAAAAGACCTGCTTGTCTCCATGAAGATAGATTTAGCTTGTCAGTAATGCTATACTAGTCCACAAACCCCCGTACCAGTCAGCGGGTCGTTTGGTACCAAACCAGGACTAAAACCAGGTCTAAACCAGGACTAAACCAGGCCTAAACCAGGACTAAACTAAGGACCAGGTCTAAACAAAACCAGGACTAAACCAGGACTAAAACCAGGTCTAAACCAGGACTAAACCAGGACTAAACCAGGACTAAAACCAGGTCTAAACCAGGATTTAAC